AAAAACCCTAAGAAAATCTCACCAAGCCAAACAACCCAAAACCTTCTGTGGAGAAAACATTCTTTCCTAACCATCTGTATCTGATCACTTGATTTCCTAAAGCATGAGGCTTGCCCCCCAAAATCGGAACATGCCTGTGTTGGTTTTATCAAATTCTGCCAATTTTTACAGGATTCTCCTGCGTGATTTTTATTCTACTTGGCCACCAGTCTTAGATTTTAATGCCAGAATATCATTCAGAAATATATTTATTAGCTTATTAAACTGCTCTTGGAACATATAAATGAGAGTAGTGGTCTCTGTGTTGCAGAGGTGGACATTTAATTAGATACATCAAAAAACAGATAAAATTGTTTGTTGATTTGCATGTCTCCAGTCAAACTAGGCAACTCAATGGGAGAGCTTTACATCATCTTTAGAATGTGTGTTATAACAATTTTATTAGGAGTACACAAAATGGAACTTGGCAGGCAACCAAAATAGACTGTTTCTGAGAAGAGTCCTACAAACTAACTCAGCTGTAACCATATTTGATTTTAGTTTAAATTCTTGGCAGAAGAGTGAATATACATGGGGGGGGGCGGTTATGCATGTGCTTGGAGTGGAGAGAGGGTCAGTTTTTGCACTGCAGCAGTCGTGCGAAGAGTTCTGTGGAAACCAAGTGGGAAGTAGACCTGGTCTGCTTCTCTGCAGGGTGAGTGATAGATTCATTGGATTCCACAAACCACGGGGTATGCTGATGGATGTTTCGGGCTTTTCATACAGAACTCACACTCCTCAAGTGCTTGAGTCAGGTATCCTCATAATCTAAAGCTGGTCATATGGACTAGTTCCTTGCTTTGTGACTGATACAAAATTTAATGACAGTATTCATGTCTACATTTCAGTTTCAGTCAAGTTAGAAAAATCTGAAACTGGAGGGTGTAACATCTTAGGATGGGGGGCTGTAGCTGAATGCAGCAAACAGAAAATGCAAGCCAGAGGACAAAAAGATCTGAAGGGTGATCTTTCATGCAATAAAACTACTTCTGATGCCATGGCTCTCTGAAATCACTTTTGAAGCTGCAAATGAAAGGCAGCTGAGTGAGCTAGCAAGCTGGATCAGGGCCAACTGCATCTGAATCCTGTTGATTCAAAGGAGTGGCCTATCAAATACTGCAGGGATGGTGAGCACAGTGAAAACTGAAAGAGACTAGAATGTGGGTTTGTAGGAAGGGGGCACAAGAAGTAGAGTTCTTGTTCTCACTTTTATTTGTGTAGTGATGGAGATGGCAAAGTTTCCACTCTACCTCCAGAGACTGCTGCAGCCCCTTCCCTGCTCCTGCTTATAACCGGCCATTAAATGTCAGTTGAGGTTCTGATCTCTGTCACGCTAAGGGCTACTAAACTGCAAAATACACACAGAAAAGCCCCGCTATTGGAGTGACCTAGGAAAATCTGAGATGCCTCACTTATCCCCAGCTCAGACTTTGAAAGGCAGGCTCTACTTGGATGGGATTTTTACTGAAGAATCAAAACTTCTGCAGCCCCGGGCACCTGTCTTGGAAAGTGACACTTGATTAACAACAGTCGTTTTCACAAAAACCTTTTCATGATTTTAAGGTGGTACACTCAACTTTTATCCAGTTTAGCCAAGAACCTGTGGATGGCACCTAATGTGTGCGTAATAGTGTAGTCAGCATCTGTCCTCCTATGCACAGTGGAGGTGCTGCCCACAGAAACTGTGGACCTTGGTGTGCAATCCTCCATCTCCATCTGAGCAGGCTGGCACAGGCCCAAGGGGAAGGTGGCTGTTGGCCATGGCTTTTGGCGAGTGGGGCCCCACGGCACCTGGGTGTGCTGGCCAGAGACTCTCCGCTGAGGGTATTGCAGGCCAACCTCACGTCTGATCCGTACTGGGAGCCTGCAGAGATTAGAGAGGTACAGAATCTATAAATTGACTTTGCTGGCTGGTTTAGTAAGATTTTTTTAATGGATTGCAGGCACCTGCAGTCCCTTTCCAAAGTAAGTGGAGAGCCCTGAAACTAAAAAGTAAGAAGTATAGTGAGCAAATAAAGATGAAAAGGATCCCCTTTTCTATTCCAACCCAGATCTTGGTAACTGTTATGGACGAGAGCAAATACATTTTGGTGAAGGGAGGAAGTAAATGTGTATGTGAATTAGCCAGTTACAGAGTTAAAATTTGCTGCAGAGGAAAAGCAAGCTATCGAGCGGAGGCCCAGACTGGGGAGCACTGGTGGCGGCAAGAGCAGCCCTTCTTGAGACCCCCAGAGACATTTAATGGAAGTGGCAGGAGGAGGAACCAGGTCCTTTGCAGTGGCAAACAATGGCACGCATGGTAATTATCCACAAACTACTCCAAGGCTGTTATTTTGTAGCTTGATTTGTGTTGTATGGCAGCTGAGAAGCAAATATCTCTGTGTGTGTGTGTGTATATATATATATAAATTCAAGCTCAGTGTAGACCATTTGGGATCATTTTCCATTCTGTGCTGTTGTGGGAGGAGCTGGCAGAACTGCAGCTGCATTCAAGGCTAATCTGGCAGGGCACATACCAGATGTTAAAGGAGTGCTTTGCTTGGGCAGTATGAATAGTTACAGCCTAATACAGCTTTCATAGATTCTGTAGGGAAGACAGCAAGGTTTATATTCAAAGACTACTTTGTGTAAGATCGGGGGAGAAACTCCCCTGATTGTTTCTGTGGTGGCTGAGGTCATAGGAGTCTCTGGTCTCCCTGCAAAGTTGTATACCACACACAAATGTGCTTCGGGGTGACATTTCAGCTCTCATCTAGGGAGCAAATGCTAACAGTGGTCTCAGCTCAGTTTTTAAGAGTTTGTCCAAAGTTTTGCATGCATAATGCATTATATTTGGGGTTTTTTGATATTTTTTTTTTATCTTAACACTGACCTTAATAGGAAAGCCTTCTTTGTAAAGCAAAGGTTAAAGAGCCAGCCATTTGGAGTTATATTCTTATAGGACTTTGTCTCTTTGAAGCTGATACTTAGCTTTACATATGAGTTGTTATAATACACAGAGGACTGTCTCAGAAGTACAAAGTATTCCTATTTTTCAGTGGAAATGCTGCTTCTTGGAGTACAGCAATGTAGGCTGTGCATGAGAAATTCATACTAAGTGACTGGTTTTTGTTTTGTGTTGTACATAATTCTTGTGATCAGCTAGGCAAAAGAGAGATTGACTATCTACTCTAGAATTTCTTCATTTCAGTTATTGGTATTATGGACAGACTTCTTTAATATGAATAACTTTTAATCGTTTTCATGCTGTATTCAGTTTTGCATACACAAGAGAACTACATTGTTTCTAGACAACAATTCTGACTACACAATATATAGGAAAATATATTGAGTAAGAAAATGGAAAATACTTTCTGTGATTTTTTGAATATGGTAGCTTTATAATAACAAGAACAAAACATTTTCTAAAAGGAGAATGAATTGATCACAAAAGTATTTTGTGGGTTAATTTCAAAAGAAAGAAATCCGGTTTTAAAGGTGCAAAGTACAAAATATATTTTATTAATTTTTAAAAATGCTCTCATATTTTGCTTTGGTATTGTTTTTCAGATTTCTCTTTGGGGTTTTCTTTCAGTAAATGTTTAATTCTGTAAGTAGAAGCTGTTCAATTTTGAAATATATATTTTACATTAGAGATGTGCTGTGTCGTTGTGACAATGATCTCCCTTTCAATATTACATTGATTGTCATAAGAGATTATGATAGATAATAGATTGACCTTTTAGTCCAAAGAGCTGTGTCACAAAACATAGTGCCACACTGAAGCAGATGTGGTATATACTTGCATGTAAGCTGATACCTGTGTGTAAAGATGCATATGCTTTCTCTTTTTTCTTTTTTTTTTTTTTCCCTTCCTTGCAGATCAAGTTTTTCCTCCTTCCTGCAACATAGAAAAGAATTTTCTCTCTTTAAATTACCTTGCGGGATATTTACAACCGAAAACAGCAGAAGGGTGCCTTATGTCTAACTTAGTCCAAGAAAGAGAAATTCATATCATTGAATTAATCACTCCAAATTCCAATCCACACAGGTATAGTATTGCTTAAATAAACTAAATCTGTTTGAAATTAAAGCTATGAATTTCACCTGTCTATTGAAAATCAACTGCATGTAACCATTTTATTCTTACAAGAAAAGCTTGGGCCTTAGTACTTCACCTTAATAGAAATTAATTCTTCAATATGTAAAGATTTTGGGTTCTGCTTCACAATTCCAGAATTTTTCTGAACAAGACTGCAAAGCACAGTCTTTATGGACTGTATCCTGCCCCTTGTCTTGCTCAATCAATCAAATATGTCCGAGAATAAGGTGAATGAAGGAATATGAATAAGGGCAGCAGCTGACCTACAGGGTTTAAGATGGAATTGCTGTATGCAGAGAGGTTAAAAGTAATGTTGACCTGTCACAGGTAGGGATTACTGGCAGCAAGGCCTAGGGTAGGAGGTCACGAATGATGTGTGGTCCATGGTAATTGTTCCACAATTGGTCTGAAGAATCAAAACAGTATTTTCTGTCAAGTCTCCAGTTGAGTTTAAAGGATTAGGGGGCCGGTTAGCTCAGTTGGTTAGAGCGTGGTGCTGATAACGCCAAGGTCGTGGGTTCGATCCCCGTTCGGTCCCCGTATGTTGCCTGATCTAGTTGAGAGGCGTCCCTGCCCATGACAGGGAGGTTGGATTGAATGACCTCTAAGGTCCCTTCCAGCCTAGGCCATTCTGTGATTCTGTGATAGTTTGATAATTGCAAGAAATGTTAAGGATTGACAGCAGTCCATTGACAAAAATAGTTTATAATTAGTGGTTAGGGAAAAGTACTTATCTCTATGTCCACGTTATGAGGATTATCTAAATTGGCAAAGGTACCTTTCAGAGGTAAGACATTTAAAGCTTTCGTTCTTTGCTGGCCTGTCCTAGGTCTTAGTAGAAGCACACAAATGAAGTTTGCTTCATACCTGGAAAACCTCTTCACAAGTACTGAGTATCGTTGCTAAAACAGGAATTTGCTGTGAAAAATAGATGGTTTTCCAATTTGCAAGAAGAAAAGTGCAGTTTCGTTAAAGATAAGGAGGAATTAAAGTTCTGTCTATGTACTGCAAACACTGAATATCCAGCATTGTCCGCTTTTGCTCTTCATGCAGTTAGATTTAAGCACAACCCACCCCTAATGAGGAAGTCACACAGGGAGATAGGGTGAGACGAGGGGTCTTTGCAGAAGAGTAGTTATCTCATTGCAAGGTGATGAACCCAGAGACTGAGAATTTTCTTGCCTAGTGACCTTCAGAGAGTAAGAAAGTGCTAAAATGTAGTGGAAGTGGAGTAGATAAGCCTGAATGATCTGCCTGTGTGTGGCATGAACTGCAGCCCCATCCTGAGCAGAGCCGTTCTTTAGCATCGACATCACTGTCAGCCCCTTGCAGTGTTACGCAAAGCCAGCCCTGTCTCCCAGCCCTCTGGGCTTTTGGCTTTGGCTGATGATAGTACAATAGAAATTTGGGTTTTGGATGATAACACTGCAAGATGTTTGCATGTTTTGTTATTAGAAGGAAAAAAAAAATTAACAAGTTAAATTCCTCTTGTTTCACCTTTAGTTGAGTGTATTATCCACTGTTCTCTTTACAAAAGTTTATATCCACAAAGAAAGGTACAGAAGCTGGGCTGGGCATGTGTAAAACTACAGCAGGTGAAATGAAGGTCCCGAGATACACCAGATCTCAGTGCAGAATATTAGTTGAAACCTGTTAACTAGGGATGAGCACGTTCTTGTGACATGTGGCCCCATAAGATGATGATCTGGAAGCAAAGGTTTTTCTGTTGAATTAATATTTTGCACGACAGGACGTTATTGATGAGTACAAACCCATTTGGTCTACTTATTTTACTGAGGTCTTGAAAATCTGGATAGCATTCATCTATTTTCCAGCAAGCAGTGGGTTGAACATCTGTTTTCTTTTCTTTTCTTTTTAAGGTAAGTATATATCCAGAAGTATTGGAAACTGAATACACGGCTTAATTCCTCAACACACGCAAGATCCTAAGCAAAGTAATTTCCACAATTTAACTGCTTAGGCAGAGGCACTCCCCAATACAGTATTTGTGGGGTTTTTTTTTTTTTGTTATTAACCTACTTAATTTGTCTTTTTTTGCTTTTTTTAAGGTATGATTTTGGTCTCTAATGCAGTTGTACCCAGAGGAAACTGAAACACTTATATTTAGACATTGTCACAGTGAAAGAAAACAGTATTTACTTTATAAAGCAGATTGTTAGTTATATAACTAACCTACTCTAAATAATAGCTGAAATGAGTAGCACACTTCTTGTAAACAAGAGACAAAAATATTATTTGTCTAAAAAAGTGTTTGTTTCCATTATTATGCAAAATCATTTAAGCGTATGTGGAATAACAATCTGTTTTGCACATGTGATGTTGCCTGGGATAATCTCCAGCATTTTAATCAGCTGGCCAGACAGTGGAAACATGATGGATTGGAAGAAGGTTGATAGCTGAAAATTTCTGGCATTCTGGTCTAACTTTCTCTATTTTCCACTTATAGTACTTTCCAGGTGGATATAATCGTTGACATTAAACCATCTCAACCAGGCGCCAAACTTGTCAGAGACGTCGTACTTATCCTCAAGTGTAAGAAGTCTGTCAACTGGGTTATCAAGTCGCATGATGTCCAAGGAAAGCTGGAAGTGATTGTAAGTTATATGACCTTTATTTTCTGAGAGACGTCATTATAGCAGCAATATAGAATTCATTTAAATGTGATATAGTGCAATGCCTTAGTGATTTCTGACTGTTTTCTCTCTTGACTGCTTTTTTGAGTTATTGCTGCATTTCAAGGAGTAAATACAGAAACTATTTTTTTCTTCTTACTGTCTTTTAATATGTGGACTATTAAACTAACCAGCATATCACGGGAGCCAGATGGTTGGTGCAAGGATTTAGGGTCTATGTCTTTTCCACTTTTGTTGAAGTACCCTAAACACAAACTTGGATGTTTGTCTCCCTTTCTGCTGTTACGTTGGTAAGTAGATCTACAGGTTAATCTCAGAAGTTAGAAAGATGCCTGTGAGTGAAAAATGGATAATCCTAGATACATGGCACACGCCCATGTCTCTTCAGAGGTAGAAGCTTTTTTACTTCTTTGACTTGCTGTTGTAGTAGACTCTAGCCCTCTTCCCTGCCAGTACTTCTGACCACAGCAAGTGTTTGGTCAAATTGAACTTTTCTCTCCTCAGACCACAAATAATAAATTTTTAAATAATTAAACCTAGGATCTTTACAGCTCAACTTCTGAAATTATACTTCCTCATAACTGGAGGCTCCGATTCAGAATGATTTTTGGTAAAGACTTTGTGGTTCAGCACCATTTCTACTAAGAAAGTGTGTTTTCCTGTGTTCTGAAATAATTAAATAATACTGGACTGATCTTGCAGTCCATAAATGTGTGGCCTATTTCTGTCTTAAGTGATCAGTTAGGAGCACGTTGTATAGTTGAGCTAAATGTTCGCTGAGGACCATGGCTTCCTGATTGATGGCTTTGCAGTAATTCAGATAAATTTTCAAACTCCAGCTATCTGTGTTTATAAGAATTTTACTTTCCTTAGTAGCTTTCTCCTATTGCAAGGGCAATTCCTAAAGCATACAGATGCTGCTTGATCTAAATCTTCTAGGAGGACAGTTTGGTAGGCAGGATTTCATGATAGATTTTGAGACTAAAGGAAATAAAAGGAAATAAATTATGCTGTAGCCAGAAAATTGAAAGGAAAAAATTACCTAGGGTGGATTTTCTTTTGATTGCTGACACATCTTTATTTTGTAGACAGTAAAAGATGTTCTGGTCATTCTGTAGGTCTTAAATAATCAATCATTAAAGAAAAAAGTCAAGGTTAGTTGCCCAGAAGTGCCACACTTGTAAGGAGAAGGGTAAAAAACCCAATACTTGACTTGAAAGTTTCATTCTGGGTTATTACATAGAATTCACTACTGTATATTTAGGCCTATATGGGTCTCTTTAACAGGGTAGAGAATTGTGCATTAATTCACACTTGAAGATAGATGAAGTATCATATTTTATATGCATGAAGCTACCTCTTTATGGATGATGAACTTTCAGGTAGAGGAATTCTGAAAGACTTTATAATGTCAGAAGTGCTGCACTTGAGTATAGAAAAGCAAGGCTACTGTTCTTTCTTTATTAATTATTGAAAGTATAAGTGAAAATTCTTTGTAACAAGTGGCAGAACAAAAAGAGAAACTAATACTATATATGGAAATGTCAGCATATAAAACAATGTATATTTATGTTAAGATTTGTGAGTAACTGCTATACAGCTTTATTTATACAGATGCTTCATTTATCTGAATGTGTGTTTTTTCTCCGTTATTTAGAGGAGGGTGTGGGAGGGAACTAAATACCCCCATGTCATTAAAAAGCCTGTACATCCAGCATTTAGGATCTATTCTTATCTCTGTGAAGCTAAAAGCCTTTCCAAGACCAAATTTAGACAATGCATAAAAACATTACTAAACAATTAGGTAACATTTCACAATGTTCTTTTTATTAATTGAAGCAGTTCCATGCTCTTCAATTTTCCTAACTTCTTGCCCTCATTACAAATCAGAAATGTCTTCAGGGGGTTGGCAAACCAAGAGGGAAAGGTTAGTGCTAAGCTGCCTCAAACCCAGGACTGTGAGCTATTAAAGGTCTAAGTTCATAGGCAAAAAATGAAAAAGGTCATCTAGCTCATCTCCCTGTTTGCTGTGTTTCTTGAAACTCTGAAAGAGGATGAACACAAAAGCAAGTCAGATGGGAATAGTTTAGGTAAAGCAATTGCACATAATACACGTGCTTTTCCCCCAGGATGTGTTTAAGTCCTGTTTGCAGTCTGTCCTTACATCAACTTCTGTGCAGCACTTGCATGTTTCTGTGCTTGCAGACTCTCTGCCCTTCACGTTGCTTCTTTTGGATTAGGTGTCCTTTTATGAAGCTGTCAGTGAACGAAGAAGTGAAATCGCAGAAAGAAAATGCGTGCATTGAAGGGCAGAGAGTGAGAGAGGTGAAATACACAGAATGAACGTGTGAAGGTTTCAAAAGATTGGAGGGACTACTCTTTACATGAGAACAACTGCCCACTGGTTTCTGAAATGGTCTCTCTCTATTCTGAGTAGATTAGTGGGTGGCTCTGCAGTTTCATACACTGCACGTGAAGGTGTTGGCAAGGCAGGCAAGTGAAGGGAGGGATGTCTATTCCTGCAAGCCCTTGTGCTTGGATTTGTTTTGTTAAGGAGATGCAGAACTGAACACTTACAGGCTCATTGTGGAGAGGTATAAACAAGCCCTGGAAATGGTCAGATGCCAGCTAGGACAGTAAAGTTCTGAGATAATGTTTGTTCAGCTGTCCCTTCCTGACAATAGAAATAAAAGGAGGCAGCGAGGGAGATTCAGCAGAACTGGGGTAGCATGGTAGTTCCACTCAGTCAAAGCTGTGTGATAGCATGAAAATGTGTGATAAATCATAGCCTGATTTGTATCAATTGAAAAAAACAAAAGATTATTTGATCCAAAACAATCATAAGGCAGTAAAATTAGGATACTTATTGCTTCCTTTTCATCTCTTATCTGCAGTGGCCTTTGCTGGGCATTGATAACTGTACTGGTAACAGTATCCTCAAACCACACACTCTGCACCTGAAGTTCCCTTTAACTTCAGTTATGAAGCTGTGAGCATTCAAAGGATGCAGAACTGGGTCATTAGAGAAAAGTGAGGAAGGGAGCTAAAGGTAAATTATGCCATTGCATCAGGACTTTCTATGAGCTTTATTTACTTTGTTCAAAAGCTCAGTTTCTGAAGTCAGATAGAGAAATGCAACTGAGCACTGTGACGCCGAGTAGCAGATCCATACAACTACTGTCTAAAAGCAACCTGGGCAAAAGAGATCGGTGTGGTCAGTCTTTTGATGTTCTAGAGTGAAAGGGAATTAAGATTTGTTCCCGTTGAGGGAAACCAATGGGGATTAAAGAAAAAAAAAAGGCAGGCTATGTGGTGGAGAAGATAATCAGGCATGGAAACCAAAATGTTTGTTGTAAAGCATTCAAAGGCATCATCTGCATGTAGAAATCATTGAAAAGTTGGTCATCATGCCTTTCCTGCTGTGTTTGTGTTCAGACTGGGCTGTAGTCTTGATATGATTGTTATAATGTAACACAATAACGATGTGAATGTGAAAATCAATATACATGTATTGAGCTTCATGTGAATACATGCTTAAGATACCAAGCACTTAAAAGCAAGTTCACGTGCAATACCATTGAATATTTTCTAACTGCCCCTCCAACAGCAAGAGATGCTTGTTATATTCCTTTGACTTGCCCATTTGAAAATTTGAAATTTTGCAAAGTGTTTACAGTAAAGCAAAAGCTAACTAACTCTGTGACTCATCTATATCCCATGGCCAACTTCGACAAGCTATTACTTGTAATTTTTTAGTAGTAAAACTAAGGGATTGGCAAGTGCATTTATGAGTTTGCTGTATCAGTGTGTTAGTGCAAACTTTTGTTAATTTATATTTTAAATTTTATTAATGTGCAGAAAATATAGGTTGTCTTTTGAGTAGTTTGGCCTTGCCAGCTGACTTTAAAGCATTAACTGGTATCAACTCTACTTCATGAGCATGCTACGTTTTGCCTCTTCCAGTAATGCTCGTTTGGACAAAGGTTTTCCAATTCTCTAACCAAAGAAATGAAGGGGACATTAAAAAAATCAGTTGTCATCTTGAGTTCACCTCACCTCAGAAGTCATTTCAGCTCAGTTTTGAAGAAAATAGGGCATTGTGCAAATGGTTGTAAGCAGATTTTTGTTTTGTTTAGGGATTACAGGATACAGTTTCTAACCACCTTGATTTATTGTACTCCAGGCAGCAGCTGGGAGAAGGGGAGGCCTTTTCGCCATGTGCCTAAGGTGGCAGAGTTTGGTTTCTTTTCCAGGTGTTCTCCATTTGCTGTTATTTAATAGAGTAAAATAAAGGAGAAGACATGTTCAATCAGTGTCACTATTTAAGTATCCTTAAATGGTAAATCATGAATGAAATTTTTCTTTTTTTTGTAGACATCAAACAGTATTGGTTTTGGAAAGGAAACAGAACGATCCATGGCTATGAGTAAATCGGTAGTACCTGGTATTCCCTCATCTCATGAGAGTTTGATCAAGTGGGCTTATGAGCATAACTATAGTCCTGTTACTTCCTACACAAAAGCCCCTGTTGCTAACAGATTTCATCTGCAACTTGAAGATATGGGTAAGATTGAAGATGGACTTTTAGCATGTAGAAAAAATATATCTTGTGTTTCCAGGAATATGATGATTTGAAAGGTGCTTTCTCAGTTTTGAAAATGTGTTGTTGGGGATTGTGCTGTTTTTACTGTTCATCATCAAGAATGCTGATAATATCTTTACATTCCAGTAAAAAAAAAGTAATATATGGCTTTCTGGTTAGAAAAGTCCAGGAAAATTGTGTTATTTTTTGAAATGTTGGTGGAGTTAAATGGTTGTAGTTTATCCAACTCACAATCCATTATAGCTGACCAAGCTCAGTGTTCACTGGAATGGACTTCAGCAAATCTTGTTAGTTAATAAATCCAGCTTAGATTTTTTTTTTTTCATTTCAAAGTATGAGCATACTATCTTTTTGAGACAATTAAAGAAACTTTTAAAACAAAAAAGTGTAAACATTTTCACACACAAACGCAAAAAAATACTAGCCAGAAAGGTCATCCAAAGCAGCATCTTTGTACTTTTCACGTAACTACACAGTCCTTTCTGGTTATTTTTTTTTAATGTTCTGGATACTTGAATGAAAAATATCTAATAACCTAATATGGTCTTTTTTTTCTTTCTTTTTTATTGGTTTTTTTTTAGAAGAGATGAATGATGAAGAAGACCATTCCCTTCCTCCAGAGCTGACGGAATTGCTTGGTGCTAACCCACTGCCTGCCCCAAAGAATCCTGCATTAAGTGATGGCCTGGCTTTTCCTTTTCACATTAACAGAGGAAGGCATGACACAGTGGGAGAAGGAATCTTCCCATCCAGGGGTTCAGTGGATGCATTAATAAATCATGACTTTGAGCATTCCTTCTCAAAACATAAAGAACCTGAAGAAGTTCAGGGCAGTGCTGATGTGGCCCTGTCAATAAAGTGTGATAACAAAGTCATGACAGTAGCTGTAGAAAAAGACTCTCTGCAGGTTGGTGTGATCACTTATTCTCAGATTTTGCCAGGCTTTTTTGGGCAGACCATTTTATTTGCATTTTGACTGAAAATGTAAACATTCTAAAATCTACAGCCATCATCACCCAGTCACCCAAAAATAGTTTGGTGAGAAAACTTTAGATATTATTTGCCGTAACTCAGGGTCATCATTCCCCTTACCAACAAAATAGTAGTTTGTAGAGAGATTTCTGTTTAAAGCTTTGCAGGGTTTGTTCTGTCAAAAAATCACTGTACTCAACCATCAGTCTGAGTTCTCAATCTCCAAAGTATGGAGAAGCTGCTTTTGATGGCTGTGTTGAGACCTCAATAGATCCGTCTTCACCAGCCGGCTGACAGGTTGCTTGTGTTCATTTCCATTGGGAAAAAAGCCTGATACAGACAGCACTTTTAGCTTGTTTCAGACCAAACAGAGTCAGCATTATTAATCAGCAGATTAATAATGAACCTGTTGTTTTCTTTGTTCCATGCTACATTTATTCTCTGTCTGTCATGTATAAGAGCATTCTGAGAGTGACCTTCCCTGGATGTCAGTACAATGAACTTCCCTTCCTCCTATCAGCAGTCATGAGCAGTATTCTGAGCTGCACTTTGAGCAAGAGCCTGACACAGTTGTGTTTCAGCCACTTACAAAGCACCTTTGTTTCAGGCCAGCGGCTACACGAGGACAGAACTTTCGCTGCTCGATCACTCTTGCAAAGCCAGGATGAATGGTACCCATTTCATTTTGGAATCTTTGCTGAACAAATGCGGGACTCGGACGGCATATATCCTGAACAAGATTGTTTATTTTAACTCTGTGAGTATTTTACAAAGAGGAGCTACTTTCAGCACTGCGCATCATAGTGGTACGAGGAAGCCATTGTAGTTAGTGTGAGTTTTAGCAAAAAGGAGGCATCCTGATCTTTTCCTGTCTAGCTGAAACCTAGTTGCACCCACAGTCCTGGTATTCAAGGCAGTGGGAAGGCTGCACATTCAGTGTATTCCTGTGGTCACGTAGTTTCCCAGAGGGAAGAAGGAGAAGTTGAAGTTAAGTACTGTTGCAAAACCGAGTCCTGCACGCCAGGGCCCATCTGTACCAGTCTCAGGGAAGTTGCACCAGCTTTCCCTATGTAGCTTTGATGTACCTGTACATCAGTACTACATAGCTATAAAGAGGAATGAAGTTTTGTGATTTCACAAAGCGATACCATTTAATTCCTATGCCGTGTTATCTTTTCTTCCAAAACTGTGTTTGAAAAAGGCTTTCAAAATGTGAGGAACAGACATTGTCTGTGCATGCTTGTCTCTTATAGTTTGGATTCATATTTGCTATGAGTTGATGTATGTGATGAAGGGACTCCTGAATACTCGTATATGAGTGATGATCCTAAGGAGCCCAATCAGATTCTAAGCAACCCATTACAGACTGTCTCAGTTTATGAACTTGAGTGCAGTGCAGCTAATCTGGGTTGGAAAGTAATGATACGATTCTGTTGCTGAGCTTTCCAGTGCATAGAAGTAACCTTGGCAAATGAGGGAAAGCCTGTGGTCCAACCCAAACACAGCTAAAGCAATCTAATCTGACCTTGCCTGGTTAAAACCATTCTATACTGGCAAGTCTGTAGCACCTAACTGTAGAAACAATCTCAAACCAAGACTGTGGATAGAAACATCTCCAAGCTACAGAATAGCATGTGTCTGGCACTAAATACTGTCGTTGTCCCTACCTTCTGTTATGGCCCAAGCTAAAATGGAAATTTACCTCCTCTCCTTTCTCCAACATGCTTTTTAATAGTCTTGGACTCACTTAAACTCTGAATCATGTATGGTATCTTTCAGAATTTGGGAGCATTTCTCCTAAAAAATTAATACCATGCAGTAGAGTCTCAAAGAGCATATATGTCACTTCTTACTGGTTGCTCTGTGTCCAAGAAAACAAAGATGAAGGTCTGAAAGGGAGGGAACTAACTGAGGAGTCACTGAGCATACAGAAGCAGAGTGCAGAACACTGGAAAACAAAACCGGAAATTTTCAGGTGAAGTAGTGGAGGAGTGTGCAAAGAAGGGAATAAAAAGGAGGAGGGGGAAATATAGTAGAAATTCAGAGAAAAGGAAGGGAAAAATGAAGAAAGGGACTTTCTGGATTTGGGTGTACACCTCTGAAAAAAATATGCAAATGACAGAAGAGAAAATCCTTTAATGACCCTAACACTTTCAGTGATTTTTTTTTTATGAGTGAATGAAGGAAAACCATAAGTTGCAAAAATTTGTCTTCGGGAAGCCATTTCTTTTCTTCAGTGTTGGTTATAGAAATACCAGAAATAGAATGGAAATGCTAGTCTGTTCTTTCAGATTCCAGCACCCAGATTGGTGTCTTTGCTGGCTCTGAATTCTGGAAAATAAGGAGCATTCTCTAAATATAACTTAATATCTTACATGCTCAGCACCAGGCTGTTTAAGACATACTTTCACTATCTGCTTAGCTGGTGCACTTGTGGTGGCCTTTGCGTTGTTCTGAAGAGAGAAGATAATAACCGTGAAGAGAGAGTGCTCAGTTATCACCTAATTTTATGTATTTGTGATACCTTTTGTGCAGATTGTCATTCAGCTGTCATCACCAGCTGAAAGCAGCGGCTTTGATGATGATGACATGGAATCAGGTGATAATGGATTTCCAGGAGATGCTGATGAGGTAGACGTTGCTTTCTCAAGCTGGCCAGAAATAGCGGTAGGTTACTCTTGGGTTTGCACCTGACAATAGAGAAATGTCTATTGTAATGGGCATTTCACATAATTTTCATTAATTGTATAGCAATTAATTTGTCTGTTAACACATTTTTCTCACTTCTATTTTTTGCAACCATGTTGAAGATTTGTACTAAGTAGACAGACTGTGGGTGGACCTGCATTGTACACTCCAAGTTTATCCTTATCCAGCTAGCACTCCTGACTCAGGATGTTATTGTATTGGTTTTTTTACATTTCAGTTTAATTGCACAATGCGCCAACCAGAGGATGAGAGAGGCATCTTGTGGCCACCTGAAACGCACATCACCAATGTGACCTTCAACATGGAGCTGTACAAAACGGACCTGTTCCTTGCACCCTCCCAAGGACTCTTTTCTGTTGCTGAGAATGGGCCAATATATGTAGAGGTAAAAAACTGAAAAAGGCTTTCAAGCTAACAGGAACATTTTGCAAGGTCGTGCAACTGAGCCAGATCTGTTGTTGGTGGTTAAAAGGACTCATGCAGTTGCTTTAGGCAGGCAGGTGCGTATGTTGATGACTGCAGAGAATAAAAACTGTGGAGTAAGAAACAGGGACAATGTTTGGGGTCCAAATCAAAGGATTCCTGTAAAATGGATGAATTTTTAACTATGACCAGGCAAATTGGTCATTTTGCCAAATCTGCTTTTCTGTGCAGAACTTAAAGGTGGTCTCTGAGCTCTTGCTCTGAACTGGCATTTCCTGAAGAAGTCTTCAGGGTTCAGTTTATTGGGTAATATGGCTGATGTAGACATGCAAAAAAAATTACTCTGAGTATCTGTCTTTCATACACTGGTGTTCTCATACGAACACTGGTTACAATCCTTTTGTATGCCATCACATAAGAGATCTTAACAGCTCTAGATAAATGAGACTGGCAAAATCAACAGCCATTTATCCTTGATTTCAGGTGTGTTTTGCTCCTGGTAATATTTCTATGTGCTTCCGAGTTGCTTATGAAATCTGGGGAATTTCAGATCAATGCAATCAGTATTTCTGAAGATAGTCACATGAAAAGAATTTTGCATTTTTCAGATTACATTAGGCATTAGTATCACCTGTTTATAGATGAGTAAATCACAAGTGGTGAGCTATAAGACCAGGAAAATGAGTATATTGCCTGAAGCAATGCTGTGCCGTATTTCTCTTGCCCAAGTTAATTCCTCTTTGTGAGCCCACGTTGCACATGATAAGCATAGTGCTCATTTGACATTGGTACAGTTATCTTCACTGTTTCAGTGTCTTGTGTTTCCCTCATTCTCTGTACGTAAGACAGTTGAAGTGAGAAGAAAGTATGTCACACTCAGTTAAGAATAGTATGTTTATTTAAAAAAATCACTGGTTTTGTATTAATTTGCATAAAACTGCCTGCTTCCTTCAGTGATCTGGAGTGAATGCCCCCGTCTCTGATCCCTCTGGATTTGTTTGTTTCTGGAGCTGTTTGTTCAGACAGATGTTCTGATTTCTTCATCACCTGTTCTGGCAGAAGCCTTTTTTATTTTGTATCAGTTTTGAATTTCTGTGACTCCATTTTTAGCTGACACAGATTATTTTTCTACTTTTTTGCTTTTGTTGTTAACAAATATATTTTAGGGTTTTAGTGACTAAATTGCTTAGGTCATAATCTGTAAGGACTCTCCCTTTTCCTTCTCTGCTGAATCTTTTGGATTTTTTTCTGTTGTTCTCTACAGTCATTTTCTTGTCATGTTTTAATCTCACCTTCCTCCTGTGGTTCTCCTCTTTACTTGAGATATCCTTTTATTTGCCTGATGGTGTTTCATGATACTGTAGTATGCCTGTCTTCTTTGCCATAATCTCTTTTTTAAACTAGGTTACACTATCAGCTTGTTGATCTCTCAGTATCTGTGGCCTTCATTCATCAATCTTTATTTCTGTTCTATTTATTAGAGGGTTGGTCTTCCCTACTTGGATGCTTCAGCCCATTCCTTCATCTCTACTTTGATTGCTGCTCACATAAGGGAGAGTTAAAAATGAGAAATGCCTTTATTCGCTACACAACCCAAAAATTTCTGTATAGACCACAGGAAAATTTGGCAAGCTATTCCTTAAATATACATGCAGCCTGTATGGAATAACTACACATTAAAGGCACATTTCTTCAAAGAAAGAAATGATTTCTTGTGGAACTGTTTTCATCAAACAGTGTTAATGGTTAGGCACAACACTTCTGTTGTTTATTAAGAGCAACATGCTTCATGTGTTACAAATTCCATTTGAATTTTTTTCTAATTATTCTGTAATATGTTGTCTTCATTCCAGTCCAGCTGAACAACGTCAGTGCCCTGGAAGCTTGCAGTCGTAATTATTTTTCATCAAAGAGTATGAATTTCAGACTTACAATAAACTAAAATGATCATTTCATAAGAAATTATGCCCTTTTAGGAGGCTCTCCTCCTCCCGCCCTCAGTCCAGGAAT